AGTTTTAGTTTTTATTTATTTTAATTTTTATTTATTTTAATTTTTATTTATTTATTTATTTATTTTTTATTTGTAGTGCACTTATCACAGAAGATTTATTATAACAATTACAATATTTTATCTTATATCTGAAATATATTAAACAAACATAAAAATTAATTTATTTAATCTATTTTTTTTTTAAGGATATCTGAGCTTCGAGATGTTGTGTCTAAGTATTGTAAAATATTATATGCAATATCCGGTAATGTGGCCAATGGCCGGGCATATCGTTTGATATCGCAAGTACATACATACAATAATATATATATATATAAATATATATATGTATGTATATATAGCATAACTGCAAACATAATTCATTTTAAAAATCGATTTACTCGTCCAGCGTGTCCTGTGTGTCCTGGGTGTCCTGTGACGCAGACATCGTCGCTGCAGTTTATGAGTTTATTGTTTACGCTGCCTTTCAGCCATAAATATTTGCAAAGTGCTTGTAAAAAACAAAAAGGTGGCAAAAGAACTCGTTGTAGAGAGACGGAGAGAGAGAGAGAGAGACACAGAGAGAGAGAGAGAGACAGAGAGAGAAAGATAGCCACACGCACAGACGAGCAGAAGGAGGGGAGTAGCAGCAAGGAACTGGACCCGGAGCCGTGTTGATGATGGCCCAAGATTGCTGGGGCATCCAGAGATTCAGAGCCAATAACTTTGTTAAACACAGCATCCATCCCATCCCATTCCATCCCCTCGTTTCTCCCTCCCTCCCTCCCTGCAGCTGCATTGTTGTTTGGAGTTCGCATAAAACTTAACTTTTAGTTTTTTGCATATTCCCCAAGCCCAATAAATGGAGCTGAAGGAAATTGAAGTGCAAGTGCGTGCAAAAAAGGGTTTAACTACTCTCTGTCGCCTACCCCCCCTCGGTACATCATGTTCCAATAAGCCAGCTAAATCTTTAATTGCTCTCCCCTTACCAATCAAATCGGGCTTCCTCCCAGACTGGCGTCTGACGCACCTTTGGCTGCCGTGTAAGAGCCGCGCGCCAAAAGCCATAAAATTTAATTTATTTGTCTCTAATAATTTCCCATGGCAACTGTTTGTTCTGCAAATACGAGGGGCATAAGCGGCGGGTATATAGAAATTATTGCACAGAATTACAAGACGCTCTCCGGCACTCCCTTTTAGGGTATATTCAGGGTACAGCATTGCGCCCTCTCTCTCTCTTACACACACACACACAGAATTGTTTTGGAATGCCTTAAGGCTTCCCCAGAGCTCTACTGAAGCAACAAGAAGATGAGCAAACAACCAAACACACACACACATACACCCTGATACACCCCCCCTCCCACTTGATTTGGTTTGCGTGCCACATTTGAATTGAGCTACAGCTCAAGTTGTAGCAGGGCAACGGGCAACGGGCAACGCCAAGCAAACGCTCGTAAAGTTTCTCCTTGCTGCCCCACTTAAGCGCAATTGGTGGCGCCATAAAACTCAATGGCGATCGACTGGAAGGGTCGGTTATGGTACGTACACAGCCAAGCCAAAGGCAGGGCCCAAAGTAGGTATAATAAACAATTAGATCAACACACAAATTGAAACTAAATACTGCTTTAAGCCCGAGCTGCAGTTGGTTGCAATTTTATTTTTTGTACATTTTTCCTTTGCTGAAATGAGAGACAACGATTCCAATGGTCGGAGGGGTCGAGGTTTCAAGCCAACACAATTGACTTATCATTTGACTTTGTGCGGCACAACAACAACAACAATAACAAATCCCCAGTGGAGAAATCGAAGGGAGGACAATGCTGAAATTCCACGCAATCGGCTTATGCTGCTGTTGCTGTTGCTGCTGCTGCTGCTGACATTGTTGCTGCGGTTTGATGTCCGCCCTCTGGGCGCAGGACAATGGCTGCGGCGGTTTGTCCCGCAGTGTAGCCAAAATGCGAAACAATGAACCGCATAGAGAGAATCAACAATAGCTTTAGAATGGGTCGTGTGATGGCTCGCCCCCCCCCCGACCAAGTTCAGAACAATTAAAGTCACGATTTGCTGTTGCCCTTCTGTTGTTGTTTCTTCTTTGTTTTTGTTTTTTTTTTTTTCTAAAATAAAACAGACAATTTATGTTTTTCTGGGACAAGCCCTAAGAAGAAATAAAATTGTGGCAAATTATTGTGTGGGGTGCGGAAAGAAGTGCAATATTAAAGGGGCATTGAGTTGAGCGATACATAACAAACGGTAACCATTTATTATTGATATAAGGATAACTAAATTCGTTTTTTAATGCTTAGATTTTAAATTTTTATTTTTTCTTTTTTTTAATATCAATTATGTATAGTAAATACATAGATATCATAATCTGTGGGGGAAGACCACAGTATATGTATATATATTAATAAATAAAATAAATAAAAAAATAAATAAAGAGATAAATTAAAATTTTAAGATTATATTAAAACCTATTAAGTGCTATTAAAAATGATTAATTATTAGTTCTGTGACTATTTTAAATTCGTTATATTTGAATTATTTATTTTCTTTTATATGTGTATTTTTAATTTTATTTATTAATTAATTTTGTATATTTTTTCTTTAGATTTATTGAATTTATTATTTTTATTTTTTTTAAATTTTGTTTGAAAGTTGAAACGATTTTCTACCTGTGGTTTTCCCCCATTTATTTAATACAAATTATTGGAATATTTTTAACCTTTCAACGTCCCAGGACGTTGAGCAAAGAAAAAATCGTGCACAAATTTGCCTAAGTTGAAGTTTGCTTAGCAATTGAAATTCCCACTTTACTGAACTGAATTCTTTTCTTTGGGAGGTTTCTTTTAACTCCCTTTAGCCTGGTTTTTCGAATCAGGCACGGATAAAGGGGTAGCTCCACAACGAACTGAGATAAAAATTCAATTAAGCTCGGCCCATTCCAGTCAGCCAGCAACAACAACAACGAACACCTTTTGTCAACTAATTACATGTCGGCAGCCACCCACCCAGCCAGCCAGCCAGCCATCGCCATCCAGGCCAGCCCCCGCCAATGGTCGACGAAAGGTTCAAGTAATTTGCAGGCAAGCGTTCTTTGGCTTTTAATTGGAAACAAACACACACAGAAAAAAATAGAATACGTTTTCGCATTGAGTGACAAAGGATTGCTTTTTGGGTTTTTCTTCTTTTTTTTTCTCTGCCTTGTCTTTCCTGGAACCTTTCTTGGAATTTTTACTTTACTTTTGCTTTGCTTCTTCGCTTTCAATTGACTGAAAAGTTTTTTTTTTTGCTTTGGTGATTTTGTTGCCCCAGCAATTGGCATTTAAATTAAGCACAAATGTATTTTTTTAATGCCAATAATTATTTAAAATCTTTTCGTAATGACGTCGAGTATTTTGTCCGGCTCAAAGAGGCCGGTGGGGCGCACCACATGCAGCAGATCATGGACACTGAAACGTTCGAGTCGAATGTACCTAATTAACGTATTGATGTCCTCGCTCGGATTGTGGACACTCCAGTTGCGTACAGCTTGCAAAATATCCATTTCGGGGACATATAAAACCTCTGTTTTCAGCATTTGCTCAAGTAATGATATGCGCATCATTTGGAAGGATTCATGGTTTAATATATCGGTCGCATTATTGTATAAAAAATATAAACATTTATTGGTCAGCTCTTTCAGACCGTATCTGAAAGCTGCATCCAGGATTATCGTAAAGTTGGGGACGGCCAGATTCTTCGCGAGATGTTTGGCTATGACCGGATCGACATTCTGCAACTCGTAACGATGGACAAGAGAAAGGACATCGATAACGGTATCCACGTTGAGTCTGGACAGAGCCAGCTTGAACGTGTAAATATAGCTCAGGATTACCTTGAAGGCTTCAAGCGGCACCTCCAGACGAATTTCCGGTTGCTTGTTTAACAGCAGGCGGTCAAATCCCTTACTGCGATCCGTTAGTATTTTGCGGTGTGCCGGCAGCCGGTGATCACCCAAGAGGAATGTCACGTCCGAGTAGAGCTCATTCATGCAGAGGCGGCTCATAATAAAGGCAACGCGTTCCTCCTTATTGTAACTTTTGGAGTAGCTTAGGAGCGACGATGTCTCTTTTATTTCCTGGCTGCTCATTTTCGTTTGATGGATTTTTCATATTTGGGATATTTATTTTATATTATTTATTTATATTCCTTTTGTTCTAAAAAACTCACTTTACTTCAATATGTTATGCAATTTATGCGCACGTCTTTTCCAGTGTGACCGCGGATTTATCCAACAAATATACCGTCAGATCCTCAGAAATTTACCTACTCAATTTCAAAATATACCGTCATTAAAGATTAAATATACCGTACCGTACGGAAAAATTTATTAAATATACCATATATATATATATCCACAACAAAATTTCCCCGTCAAAATATACCGAAAATACATATACCGTAAACGGTCACGTCAAACTGGTCGTACGGATCACTATCGTTTGTGGGGAGTCCCCCGATTATGTAGAAAGAGACACAACGCTCTGTAGCGGCAGCCGGCGACTGTATGTGTGCACACGTATTCTCAACCATTCGAGAATCTAGATCTGCCAGCATACAAACGTTTTTTACAGCGCTGTCGAAATATACCCTTCACGTTATAAGTTCAATGTTCATTTTGGAAGACGCTTGCGCCTCAATCTTAATAAACTATTATTTTGTAAAACCTTTCAATGATTATTTCTTTTAATATAGAATATACGATAATAAGGGGCAGATTTACATATACATATGTACATATGTAAAAATACATAATATATATTTCATACATGACTTTCCTTTGGAATAATTTTTATAGGCGTATTCAGCTTGCGTCATGACTTAAGTAAAGATATAAGAATATATGTGAGTGTGTACCTGTTTGTGCCACAGCAAGCAATTTGTCAAAATTTATTATTTGCCTGGCATTGAAACTACTTCTGCGATTGTAAGAAGTTATTTTATATTTAAATGAATACATATACTATGAAATTAAATTAAATTCATTTTCTCTTCAATTGTCGAATAAATTGTTCGCCTTTTTTACTAAAGATTTCCGTGCAGAGGGGCACTCTAATGAGCTTAAAATGAATTAAATTTTCGAAGAGCTAATTTCTTTAAAATGTTTTCGTCTTAAAATTCGTCTGCTTGCAAAAGTACGCACACATACGCCCTTTAGGGTTCTGTGCGCACTTACACATGCAAGTGAATTCTAATTTTAGATTTGTTGTACTCGCTCAAAAAAATTGCTTGCTGGTGGCAATTCAAATTATGGGCGTTACTCATCTATTTTTAATTGGCTATACACTAGAGAAGTGGCTCTTAACTACCAGTCCAAATATCCAGAGACGGGAACAATTGCTCAAAAAATAGGTAAACATCATCGTCAGGCAGTTTGGCCGGAAACCAACCCCTTGCCCACTACAGAAAACTGAGATACGATACCCAGAGAGAGGAAATTAATTTATTGAACAGCTGCCGAGGCGCCACAAAATTTGAATATAGCTGCCGGTTACAATTTAATTAAAAATTTTCCGTCTGCGACAAGTCCCAGGCAGAAACATCAAAGTTTTGGTCTTTTGCCCGGAAGTGTTGTGGCAGGGGCCAGGGAAGCGGGACGGAAATTGTATGGCTAGCTAAAAAAGTGCCCAAAAGTCAATTTCAATATTGGCATTAACAAATTCGCAGAGATTATATCTAGTATCCAATTGTTGGATTTTTGGTAATTATATTTTAGAGATTTATGCAGCTATGGGTCGGGGGACGGGTGCTGTGATGGATGCTGATAAATAGGAAATTAAAATGACTAACTGATCCTGTTTAATCGAAAGAATTTTCCATTAATTAATTTCGCTTTCATTTAATGGAAACAGTTACAATACTGAAAAGTGTTGTACAAACTTTATCATAACAATTTTTTTTGTTTTTTTTATTTATTTTTGTTTGCTTTCTGATTGCTAGATAGAAAAAAAAAAATATAATTAAATTACATTTAAATATCATTACAATCTTTGATTCCATTTAATCAATTCAATTGTTTAATTTTTGGTAAATCATTTCTTGGCCAAAAGTGTAAAATTAATTTTCCATAAATTTCAATCCGATTAGTTGCTATGGCAGCAATGGCTGACAATTTATGTCGCAATTTGCTTGTCAACATGCTGCTCTCACATAGATACTGCCACGCCTCCACCCAAGTGCGCCCATAAATTATAAAACCCTCAGACAGAACCCCCCCCACCCTTCTCAACGCATCTGCAAGAAAAAACACACCCACATATGGCACAGAGCTCTTTGGCAGAAAACTTAATTGCCTCTGAGTCTCGTTCTTCTTCTTCTTCCCTCTAATAGTCTTATAAAATAAACACTGTAAATTATCAAACAGGATTTTTGCCTTCACCGTGAAGTGAGGAGCGTGGAGCCTGGAGCGGGGAGCAGGTTTCGTAGGTGCGCAGAGCCCTTAAGTGCGGTGTGTGTGTGTGGGCTTATGTGCGAGTGGAAATGTACGAGTACGAGTGCCACATTTCCATGCCAATTTTCTTATCAAACTGAAACTTGCTTCACAGTTTCCACATAGTTTTAATGTTCGGTTCGTTTCACGCACATTTACAGGTAGTGAGAAATGAATTATGTAAATTTATGTGGTGGATTGGTTATACTCAATTCAGTTCTATGACTTATTTCCTACATAATGAATTAATTATAGAATTTTAATTATTATTATTATTTTCTAATATTTTCTAAATATTTAATTTCAGTTCTATGATTCATTTCCTACATATAGAATTAATTATAGAATTTTAATTATTATTATTATTATTTTAACCTACATATAATTATTTAATTTAATTCAGTTCTATGATTCATTTGCTACATATAAAATTATTTATCGAATAATTATTATTATGTTATACCACATATAATTATTTTATTTAATTCAGTTCTATGATTCATTTCCTACATATAGAATTAATTATAGAATTATAATTATTATTTTATTCTCCATATAATTATTTTATTTTATTAAAAACGTTTATTAATATAATTATAGCATTAATTAATTATACAAAACATAATGTATTCTTGGGCTATAATTGGCAAATAATTATTGCATCATTTGAGCTAATATTTTATTAGATTTCTGTGCCAACAGCAAGGGGGCTTATTAAAATATTCCCACTTTGCTCTCGATTTTCGAATACCCTTGAGTGGCTTTTATGCTTATGGCTTATACTTATGTGTGTGTGTGTGTGTGTCTTTGTGTGCGTGTGTGTGTGTGCGCCTATTTTAAGCCACTTTATGCTGCCTGTGCACGTAATTAGTTAACAAGTTGCATAAGCACTTCAAACCTAAGCCGTTTAAGTAGCCATATAGCGGCGATGTTAATAATGATGATGTTAATAATGATGTTGTCTTCGTACTCATTTTTGGCTCTTGCAACGTTCTTTAGCCACTCCTTGTCCACTTGCAAATACCCTGTAATCGTGCAGTGCCAAGGGGCAGCTCAGCTATAGCTGAGGAGGATATATTTATTTGGGAAATTTTTTTTAGAGCTAGATATAAGTTATTTTTGTGCTCTACTTTTATAATAATTATTATAATTGATGCATGTATTAGGTATTCCCCTGGTCGTTCCCTGCCTGTAGTTGTTAAATGTGTGGATGAGTTCGTATGTGTGTGTGTGTGAGTGTTTCGACAAGGACATTTCATGCAGCTAATGATGTATTCATTTGCCATGTTTCAGCTCTCTCTCCCTCACTCTGTCTCTGTCTGTCTGTTGCTCTGCTCTCTTTCTTTCTCTGTTGCCGTCGCTGTCTGTCGCTGTCTGTCTGTTTTTGTGTGTCTCTTTTGCAGCCTTTCAATTGCGAGTAAATGAAGCTCCTTGTGGGCCTGTCAGAGCATGCTGATGCTCTCTGATGCTGTGGGGTTTTAGTGCACTGGAAATATACTTTCGGTCCCACTTGTATTCTTATGAGCAAATAATGCGATTTGCTTAATGAGCTTTTTGCAGGCGACACAAACACACACACAAACAGGGGCAGAGAGACAGAGAGCGAGACACTCAGTAAAGTAGGCAATTCGGTCAGTAGGAATAATCACAACCTTGAACCTTGAACCCCACGCCGTATCTGCTTCCCCGTTAATTCCATTAAAATATATATTCACAAATTTCATCCGGCCTGGAACTTGGAAGTCCGCCGACTACAATTTCCGATTCCCAGGAGCACTATAAATAACCCTTGCCGATAACAAAACATTTGCGATGTGTTGATAATAAAAGGGTTGATTTATTTCTATGCTGTGTTGTGATTTATGACCTTTAATGGCGCCGCGCCCGAATGCCAGAGAAAAGCCAAAGGAAGTAACCGAATGAATGGTAAGCCAGCGATTTTCGACAATGTGATTTAACATTTAACATTTTTGGTGGCAAATGCAACAAGAAAATCCGCATACAAAAAGGGAAGTAGCAGCAGAAATCCGTTTTGGTGGAATGTGCAAATAGATTAACGTTAGGAAAAAAAAGAAAACTTTAAGAAAGTTTTTTCCTTTTCACTATTTTGGTTTTCAAAAAAGAAATAATGGTTTTATTTTTGTATTTTTATTATTTATTTTATAAATATTAATTATTTATTTTTATTTATGAAAGTTGCTCACTGTTTTGTTTTTCAAAAAAGAAATAATGGTTTTATTTTTTATTTTTGTAATTTATTTTATAAATATTAATTATTTATTTTTTTTTATGAAAGTTGCTCACTGTTTTGAATTTCAAAAAAGAAATAATGGTTTTATTTTTATTATTTATTTTATAAATATTAATTATTTATTTTTATTTATGAAAGTTGCTCACCGTTTTGGTTTTAAAAAAAGAAATAATGGTTTAATTTTTTTATTTTTATTATTTATTTTATAATAAATAATTATTTATTTTTAATAATGAAAGTTTAGCATTATTTTGTGTACACTATTTATCGTTTAAAATGGCAGCTTTAATTCATTATCGAATGATCGAAAGAAATATACAAATTTTTTTTCTTTTTTTTCTTTAAATAATGCTCTAAAAAATGCTAATGGCATAAAGTATCTCTAAGTTACACTTTAGGCTGCCGCTTTCCCAGCATCAGCAACAAGACAGAAATGAAAAAATTCAATATAATTTGGGTAAACCGTGAAATTTATGCTTTATGCGGCATAAATTGAGCTACGGACCGGCCCACGGCTGCTGGGCGTTGCTCTGAGCGCACCTCCTGGGGGGGTGGTGTGTGAAAATTTCCCAATGATTTTTGTTTGAACAATTAAAATGCCTGAATAGCCCAAAGTGGGGGATGGGCCTACACCCACATGCCTGCAAAAAATCCGAGAGCACATTAACTACAAATTACATTCACATTAGTGTTTCGCCGCCTGCTCTCCTGCTGTCCTCCTGCCGTCCTGGCTCCTGTTTCAGGCTTTCCTGCTGCCTTCCTGCATTTACTTCCTTTTGTTGCTCTTGTTCCTTTTATTTCTTCTTTTCGTTTTTGTTCTTTCGTTTCGTTTCGTTTTGTTTGGTTTTTTTTTTTTTAAACCAAACACCTAATAAATCAAAGCGGACTCGTGAGAGACCCCCAAGAGTATGCTTGTTAAATGCTCGTAATAAATTAGCTGCCGCCGAGGCAGACCACCACCGCATGGATTCAGATCAACCTCCCCATCCCACAATACCACTCCCCTGCCCCTGCCCCTGCTCCTGCTCCTGCCCCACCCGACAGTTTGATTATTGGCTTAGCTCATGGTCTGGCCATTTTACAATTGCTTCCTCTTCATCTTTTGCCCCTCAATTGAACTCAATCGATGGACCCCGTCTGTGGTCCATTCTATCTCCTCCTCTCTCTCCCACTCTCTCACTGTTTCTCTCACAATTTCTCTGTGGCCCAGACTCATTCATTTTGCCTGCAATTTTACTTCAATTTTTTTTTCCAGAATTTTCTTCTTTGTTTTTGGAATTTTTAATGAAGTCAGCGCAAAAATTTTTTGTGCTGTGTGAGCAAAGTTTTTAGCCAAGATGAAGGGGCATGGGGCTGGGGCATGTAGAATGGGGTGGATTTCGTGTATTTGGCATTCGCTTTTATGCAATTCATTTTTAATTTCG